CACAGACACACTCACACACACACTCGCGCACACACGTGCACATGCGCACACACTCAGACGCGCACACACACTCTCACACCTCACACACACTGACACACACTGACACACACTCACTCACACTGACACACACTCACACTCACACTCACACTCACACTCACACTCACACTCACACTCACACTCTCTCTCACTCTCTCACTCTCTCACACACACGCGCACACACACACACTCTCACACACACTCACACACACTCACACTCTCCCCTTGGTTCATGAACTGAGCTGTTGTAACACAGAGGATAGGTTCATGGTCCCCACTGTCCTATCCCAAAGCGTTCAGCAACTGGAGTAGAGGAGGAGGGTTAGGGGAGGGAGCATTGGAATTCATTTGAGGGGCTGCCAATATTTGTTCTCTGCAATATTAGAATAATCCAAATCCTTCCTCTAGCCCTGTACAATGTGCAAACAATGGGAAGTACTTGAAACTGACAAAATCTTCCTGAACTTTAGTGAACTCCTGAGTGCAATCAGAACCTGACGCCAAGGGATGCTAAACATTTATAAAAATATTCTCTGCTATTCCTATCAGGAGGTTCTTGGCAGTGAGAAAATGCTGAGGGAGGAGTCCGGGCCAGCATGAGCAATTGGTCTTTTTTAATTTGTTATTTTTCCTGACTGCCCAGCATCCTGATGTTCTAGGTGTCACGGCTGATGAATTGTGGCGAGTGTTTCATTTTCCTGTTTGAGCTCTCGAGTCCCTCCTTATAGCAAAAACGGAGGAAGGAGGATATTGGCAAAGCACTGAGTGTAGGAAATGAAATCAGAAGCATCTCCTGTCCCAGTGCCCAAACTGAGTACCAACGAGAAATAAAAATCAGACCTTCTGAGGGAAAACAAACTATCTCATTCCTCAGCCGCGTTTTCCCAGCATGACATCGCGAGTGGCCTCACTGCCATGGGACGTATGTTTTATTCCATTTATTTTAGAACAAAATAGCAGCTTCATTTCCACCTTCCTTCCCTGAAGGGATTGTGTTCATCTCAGTACAGATAATATTTGAGGACATTCAGCCATGTTGGGCATCACAGTCATCATCAACAGATAGTCAGGCACAAGTGGCTCGACTGCAAGAAAGTAATTGCAGTATTCACAGGGAAAGAAGTTACGTTGCATTTATATAGCTCCCTTCCATGACCTCCTGATGTATTTTACAGCCAATGAGGTGCTAAGCTAAATTTGCCGTAGCCCCAGACTAGTTGACAAAAGTTCTACTGTCTCCTTTAGAGAGAGGCAACTGGTGGTGGTTTAACCTGAGGGTCACCACACCTCAAGTGAGGGGGAGAGAGGTTGAGAAGGAGAGTCCTTCATGGTAACCTCAGCTGGTGCAGGAAATTGAACCCACGTTGTTGGTATCATGGCATTGCCATCTAAGCTAACCACACTGTGCCCGCTACTGGCAAAGTGGGAAATTTTTAATATCTAGTCATGGGATGTGGGCATCTCTGGCTAGGCAGCTTTTATTGCCCATCCCTAATTGCCGAGAGGGCAGTTAAGAGTCAGCCACCTGGTTTGGAGTCACGTGTAGGCCAGACCAGGTAAAGATGGCAGTTTCCTTCCTTAAAGGATATTAGAGAACCTGATGCTCTTTTCCTGACAATTGGCATCTTGCTTTTTTTTTAAAAGAATTCCAGATTTTTATTGGATTCATCTGCCATGGCAGGATTTGAACCAGGACCCCAGAATATTACTAGGAGAAGTCTCTGGATTAATAGTCTCACAATATTACGACTGGGCCATCGCCTCCCCATAGCCTCCCACCACAGATGTCACTAGATCTTTGTTGGAAGGGGTTTTTGTTTTGGTTTGGAGGTCAGCAATGAGCAGACAAGGGACGACAAGACTCGCTCAGGAGCAAAATTCTAACTTCTGTCCTCCCCTCGATCACACAGGAAGGAGCACATTGCAGCCGTGCTGAACATACGGGGAGACATCAACCACCAAAGCCGCCAAAACATCCTGGAGATGCTACAAGAATTTGACAGCAATGATAGGGGCTCCATCCTCTCTCGGGACGGAGCATTATTTGCCGAGATTGACACCGCTCCAGGCCTGCAATGTGTCGACCTCAACATGAGCCGTGCCTTGGGCTGTTTCTCCCTGTTCCGTCGACACATCAGGTGACCAGTGGACTGTAGAACTGGGATCCTGGTAGATCCGCTTGCAAATAGCCAAGAGAATAGTCCTGGAAATAATTACCATCTCAAGGCTGCTGATTGGAGGCTTCAGGTCAACTGATTATAAGATCCGTTGTGAATTTTCCTTGGACAACTCCAGGCACGATCCTGATCACTTATGAGAGGAGACCAGCAGACTCCAGGAGATCAGAGAGTCAGACTCCACCCCTTCCTGGTCTGGCGTCCAATTACAAATCTGTCCCAGGTGATTGCAATATCCAATATGGTGCCCATTGGCTCACTCAGGGAGAGCATACTGGCATGGATAGCAGCAAACCTACCAAGCTGCCAATATTCAGAGGCAAATTCTAGGCATCCTGAACCAAAGATGGCTCCATAAACAGCTACATTGCAAACTTTTCACTGCACTTATTTGAGCTCTCACGACAATAAAGCTAATTCAATTCAATCCAGTTCAATTCAGTTCAATTGGCTGAGTGTGAGACTGAGGTGCAGAATAGGGGGCTGTTATGAGGTACTGGGAGCTGGCTGGAAATACATAGGAGGTTGAGAGGCGACCTGATACAAGCTTAGAAAATCATGACGGGTAGAGACAGAGCTAATGGCTGGTGTCTTTTCCCTAGGACGGAGGATTTCAAGACTAGGGGCATATTTTTAAGAGGAGAGGAGACAGATTTAAAAAAGACATGAGGGGCAATTATTTTACACAGAGAGTGGTTCATGTGTGGAATGAACTTCCTGAGGAAGTGGTGGATGTGGGTACAGTTACAATGTTTAAAAGACATTTGGATAAGAACATGAATAGGAAAGGTTTGGAGGGATATGGGCCAGGAGCAGGCAGATGGGACTAGTTTAGTTTGGGAACATGCTTGGCATGGGCTGGTTGGACCAAAGGGTCTGTTTCTGTGCTGTATGACTCTGTGAGCTGCTGTAATTTGAATAACACTCAAATGCATTTTTCTTTTAATTCTTCCATGGGATGTGGGCATTTTGTCACCCATTCTTAATTGCTCTTGAACTGAGAGTCTCACTCAACCGTTTCAGAGGACAGTTAGGAGTTAACCCCATTGCTGTGGGTCTGGAGTCACGTGCAGGCCAGACTGGGTAAGGGCAGCAGTCCTTAAAGGGGCTAGCTTTGAATTCCAGTTCTTTAATTACTCAAGTTTAATTTTCACTAGTTGGCCATGGTGAAATTTGAATACCTGGCCAAAGTGTGTCATTGGATTACTGAAGGTATCAAGACTCAGGGAGATGGGTTTAAGAATCATAGAATCCCTACAGTGCGGAAGCAGACCATTTGGTCCATTGAGACTGAACTGACCTTCCAAAGAGCATCGCAATCAGACCTACTGTATCCCTGTAAACCTGTATTCCCCATGGCCAATCCACCCTAACCTGCACATCCCTGGGCACTATGGGTAATTTAGCATGGCCAATCCACCCTAACCTGCACATCCCTGGGCACTATGGGTAATTTAGGACGGCCAATCCACCCTAACCTGCACATCCCTGGGCACTATGGGTAATTTAGCATGGCCAATCCACCCTAACCTGCACATCTTCGGACTGTTGGAGGAAACCTGAGCACCCCCACGCAGACACGGGGAGAATGTGCAAACTCCGCACAGACAATCATCCAAAGGTGGGATCGAACGCAGGTCCCTGGTGCTGTGAGGCAGCAGTGCTAACCACTGAGCCACCAAGGAGAGGAAGAATTTATTTTACACACAATGTTGTAATGACCTGGAGCTCTTGCCTAAAGATCAGGGTGAAATCAGAGATGACGTCTGATTTTTTTTTTAAGTTGGTTCACGGGATATGGGCATCTTTGGCCAGTACCTCTATTTATTACCCATCCCTAATTTCCCAGAGAGCATTTCAGAGAAAACCACACTGTTGTGTAGGGCAAGGATGGCAGATTTCCTTTCTTGTGCCCTACAGGGCATTAGGGAATCAGATGGGATTTTATGGAAACTACATTGTCGTGTTTAGGCCAGCTTTTAATTCCAGAAATTTTTTAATATAGAATTCAAATTTTATCATCTGCCCTGGTAGGATTCAAACTCACAGCCCCAGACCATTCGCCTGGGTTTACTGGTTTACTAGTCCAGGGCATTATCGCTCAGACACCACATCCCCATTCCTCCATCAAGTGGCACAATTAGGCCATTCAGCCCATTGAGTCAGTGCTGTTCTTTCAAAAGCCAATTTGGCAGATACTTGAAGGCAATAAGGATATGGAGAAAGAGTAGAGGATTGTTGGGAGGGGCAGGGTGTGAAATTGGACTGATCTACAGAGATCCCAGCACGGACCACATTTGGAATATCGTGAGCAGCACAGGGCCCCGTATCTAAGGCTTTGGAGGGTGTCCATAGGAGGTTCACAAGAATGATCCCAGGGATGAAGGAGTGGTGGAGAACTCCAAGTCTCTACTTGATAGAGTTTAGAAGGATGAGGGGGGGATTTGATTGAACCTTCCAGCATACTGGGAGGCCTGGATTGAGTGGACATGGAGAAGATGTTTCCACCAGTGGGAGAGACTGGGACCCAAGGGCACAGCCTCAGAGCGAAGGGACGACCCTTTAGAACTGAGATGAGGAGGAATTTCTTCAGCCAGAGGGTGGTGACTCTGTGGAGCTCATTGCTGCAGAGGGCTGTGAGGACCAAGTTATTGAGTATCTCTAGGACAGAGATAAGTTCTTGATTGGTAAGGGGATCAAGGGGTACGGGGAGAAGGCAGGAGAATGGGGTTGGGAAACATTTCAACCACAATCAAATGGCAGAGTAGATTAGATGGGCTGAGTGGCCTAATTCTGCTCCAGCTCCTATGGTTTTATAGACCATATAGGTTGAATGGCCTCCTCCCGTACCTTAGAGACCAAACAGTTCTAGCTACAATTGGTCCGAGCACAGGGAGATCCCAGTGCACCTTTAACGGTATCCTTGGGTCAAATGGGATGCGGCAGTAGTCAAGTTGAAAGGCCCAAGGAGAAGGAGAAAGGTCCTGCACAGTCCGGCCTCCACTCTCCAGCAGGTTCGTCCCATCCGCAATCGGAAGGAGGTGGCCTGGAAGACTTAAGGTCACCTACTGTCTACATCCACCAAGTGAGGAGCCATAATCTTCAGCTGCAGGGAGAACTCCACCCAGGCCCCATGCTTCATCAACCAAATGCTCAAAGACTCATCGATCTGCAGTGAGATTCCAGGAATGACTGTGCTATTCAGGCAATGTCACCATTGGAATATATTATAGATATATTTATAGACGCAAGGGAAATCCTGGGGAAGCTCCGAAGTAATCATTGAGGTTGTGTAAGTTCAAAAACGCTATCAGTGCAGCAATTCAATAAAATTCCTGTATCACTCACAATCTCCTGTTGTGGTTCTTTGCAACAATTCCAGTGATGAGGCATCGGAGTTGCGTGGAAAAGTTGGGGCTTTTCACACAGAGATTATGAATCAGGAATCTTGTATTTTAAGGCAGAGATGAAGAGGAAACAAACACAGAGAAACTCAGCAGTTTGGGCAGCCTCTATGGAAAGAGAAACAGAGTTAACACTTCAGGACCACTGACCCTTCTACAGAACATTTGTTTTATTTGTATCGTCCTCACATACCAGAACCTGTTAACATGAAGATTCTTCAATAAAACAACTATCTATCCGTCTATCTCTGTCCATCTATATCTCTGTCCAACTATCTCTCTGTATCAATCTATCAATCTACCTATCCATTTGTCCACATGGCTATTTGTATCTATCTATTGAACTGTCTATCTATCCATCTACCTGTCTCTCTGTACGTTTATCTATCTATATATCTATTTCTATCCGTCTATCTCTCTATTTATCTATCCATTCATTTGTCGATCCATCTATCTATCCATCCATCCATTTGTCTGTCTATCTATCTATCTATCCATCCATTTGTCTGTCTGTTTATCTATCTATCTATGTCTCTGCCCAAGCAGGATATCCACAGTATGGTTGGTCTGGGGAGATGGTGCCATGGTGGTATTTTTAGACTAAATTCTGGGCCTAATGCTCTCAGGACATAGGTTCAGCATGTGACAAAATTTAAATCCAATTATTAAAATTTGGAATTGAAAGCTCATCTCAGTAACTGTAAACCCATCGTCGTTTGTGGTGAAGAAAACATAGGGTTCACTCATGTCCTTTCCTGAAGTAAATCTGCCATCTTTACCTGGTCTGGCCTACACTCATGGCCCACAGTAAATGCAGTTGATTCCTAACTACTCCTTGAAATGGCCCTAGCAAGCCTGAACCTTAAGGATATTGGTGAATTTGTGCTTTTTTTAAAAAAAAATCAATTGATGGTCGTTGCAAAATAAAAACCAAAAGAACTGTGGATGTTGGAAATCAGAAACAAAAAAAAAACCTTAACTCTGCTTTCTCTCCACAGGTGCTGCCAGACCTGCTGAGCTTTTCCAGCAATTTCTGTGTTTGAATAGTAATTACAAGGCTACCCTTAGACTAGCATTAAATTGCAGATTTTATGAGTATTTTCTATGTTCCTCTAAGTGTCCATCAAGGATAGAGTCAACTAGGCTCAATGAGTAAACAGTGATTACATTCCTCCTCGTGTCCCAAAAGAGAGTTATCAATCAGAATACAGCATTAATGGTGTCTCCATGTCGCTCCCCTTTTCATTTCCTCCTGACTCTGTTACAGCACAACAGTGAATGGCCATTCTCCAGACCTCACATCCTGCCCAATGTGTCACTTCCTGCGTATTATGGCAGCTACAACGTCAGCATGTGTTAAATACATTTGAGTCCGACTTGCTAAATTCACCTGGAAGGAAGTGGCCTTGTCTATTTCAGAAGTTCCTTCGATGTTTCCCAAAAGTGGGTGAGTCCTTCACTAAGACATGGTGCATTTAGCCCCTCGAGTCCATGTGAAGGCTTTCTCTTGGGTTTTGCCTCTTGGCATAATATAATGTCCTGGGTCTGGATTCCGCCCAATGGTCTCCTTTACACAGGAGCCAACAGAGAGTGTGAAACTATTTTCTGACCAACCTGCTCAATGATGTTGTTACACACCCTCTGGAGCGGCTTGAACCCTGGCCTGCTGGATCAGAGGTAGGGACACTGCACTGCGTCTTACACACTTTATTTGTCTGCAAGGTCCACGTTCCACACCAGAGGTTTGTGTACGAGGCCCAGCCGAAATCTTCCAATGCAACACTGAGGGAGCTCCGCAGGGAGAAGGGTCGGATTGAGGGAGTGCTGCCCTGTCGGAGGGCCCCTATTTCACACCCAGGCTTTGTCTAACCCCTCAGCTGGGCGTAAACGATACCCCTTGGCCTGTTCTTTCTTTCAGAAGGAGAGCAGGGGAATTCTCTCTGGTGTCCCAGCCAATACTCCTGACAAAAATCAATTAAAGAGAAAACACAGAAGATTAGCCAATCACGACCACATTGCTCTCTGTGGGAGCATGCTGCGCGCTGTTTTGTGATCCAAGCAGCGCAACAGAAGCTGCCTCAGTGTCCCGGGACAGCTTGAGGGCTGTGACAGATGCTATATAAATGCAGGTGTGTCCAGACAAATATCACCAGAGCTACTTAGCTTCCAAAGCTGTTTAATGCACTGTCAATGAGTGAATTTGTGTGTCTCTTTTAAGATAACAGCAGGGGGTTCGTTTAATGTTAGTGAGCAAGTGAGTGGAAAGCAAGTCTCCCTCGCTTTGATCTCTTCTGGGAAAGTTGGCTACTCAAGTCATCAGTGAGATCTCCTCCCTTTAAAACTAAATGTAGCTTCTAATCAGCAATTTCCTTAGTGTTACAGCAACAATGCACTTACATGAAATAAGTTCAGAAGACAGATAGTTCTGTGTCACACACAATTCTCATGTTAGAGTCATAGCGCTATAGAGCTGGGGGATTTACTTTTCTCTTCGGGTGGTAAGAATATTTCTCTTCCTTTCAACCGTTTTAGCCCCAGTGGAAAGTTTGACTGAAATGTAAACAGTACTG